AAAATCAAGAACCTAAAAGTGAAACTTTAATCAAAATGTCTTTACATTAAATGCCAACAATTATAAAAAGTTGTAATAAATATTGAACAATCTCTGTATTTTTCGTCAATAATAATATTGATAGTTAACAATTAAAGGTTCAAAAAGTAATTAAATATAGTGTATGAACATATTTTGGCTTTAACCTTTAGCATACAAAACTTACGCATGAATTAACTTACAATACACTTGAAGATTACAGTGATAAAATAGCTCTAATTTATTACTCGAACTGTGTGTTCTTAACTATCAAAGTCCTTTGGCATTTTTCAGAAATTGTCTTGAAACATTGAACATGTCTATAGTAAAGTGCAATGAGCCCCCATTTTTTTCAACGTTTGCAGTCAGCCAATTGATGTCATTTGTTATACAATCTCCAGCACCCAGGGGACACTCTGCAACTAAAATGTCGTCTTTTGTCCACATTAGCATTGTTGTGTCACTCGGAGCTTTAGTCATGACATGAGTCAGTGTATATGGCTTGCCTTCCTCTGCTGGCCCACACGCATACATTACTGAAACAAATATTTTAGGTTCGTGGAAAAAGAATACTGAAAGATACTTATCGTTTGTTATTTTTTTTTGTCGTAACAAAAACGCTGAACATTTTATAATAGTAGATAAAAAAGAAAAGTATTTTATATTAAAGACTTCTGGTTATAGTTTATATTAATAATATTTTAGCAATAAAGAGGTAACAGGTAAGGGGTCATCCATAAATGACGTCACGCTTTTTTGGACGATTTTTACCTCCCCTCTGTGATGACGCAAGGTTGCGTCGGAGAGGTCTGGTAGATAGCAGAAACAGGCTATAGCGAGTTGGTCAGAGAGAGAACAATAAAAATAGGGAACTGACCGGTCACGTGGGACGGTCAGCTGACCACTGAGGCGTGGGTCAGTAGAGAGATATGCAGGCAGTTGATAGGTAGCTAGCGAAGAGTAGAAAATGTGTTAGGAAGCGGTCAGAGACGGTCGTAATATGTCGAGCTAGTGAACAGAAAGTGAGTGTTAGGATTGGTCATGGGAGTGCGTAGTTAGTAGTATAGTGAACAGTTAGTAGTAGTAGTAAACAGTAGAGAGCATAGAATAGGCTAGTTAGGTAGAAACTTGATTTTATTGTAATAAAGAACATTTTTATATTTTGAACTTGGAACCTGTGTTGGATATTTCTGTCATCATTCATTCATCGTAAAACATTCGTACCATCACACCCTCCTCTCCATCACACACCGTCACAAAATTACGGACCCCCTCCCCCTAAGAGTGTGACGTCATTTATGGACGACCCTTAACTATATTGATATCCCGAAACTTTAGTTAGCAATTGATTAATAAACAATTATAAGGTTTATATTCTGTTATAGAGATAAACAAATAAAATATTCAAGTGTCCTAAATCTATTGTGGCTACATAATTATATGTGTTTGTACATGCTAATTTAATTAATATGAATAAATAGTGATTAGTATATTTAAGAAACGTTAGATAAGTAAAATGACTTAAGTCAAATTGCAACCTTGTATCAGCAAGAATAAAACGAAGCAGGAATGAAATAAAATGGCGAACTTCATTTTTCTTTAAGAATCATTTCTGAAAATATAGGAAAATTAAATTTTATATATATATATATATATATATATATATATATATATATATATATATATATATATATATATATACTAGTGTGCTCGTCTCTGCATATTGCTGCTGGCTCAGAATAAAGTCTGACGTAATATTTTAAAAGGATTTCATTAATTCGTTACCAATCCTATATTCTTAGACACGTGAACTTTTTTTCAAACACAGATTTTTTTTTACACTTTTTAAATGTAATCTATGTACGCTTTATATTACTTCGATCGTATTTGTCGGGGCACGGATTTGCCTACAATACCCCCTAGCACACCCCAGAGCGTGCTGTATGAAAGCCTCTAGTGTAAATTAATCAATATCCGTAATAGTGGGGTAGAACACACTCGTAGACCGCCCATTATTGTGGGACGTAGAGCGGTGCTATCGGGAGCCTACGGTTACACTACGGTCACTGACTACGGTCACCGAATGTCGTGTGCCGCCGTGTACATACTGTATGGTGTTAATCAGAACGAACGTAGGCGCCATAGTGCTCAGAGGATAACCGGGGATGCCAAATCGCACATTGCCGGGGCGCCTGTGGACGAGCCTGATTCCATTAGGTAAACGACTAGAAAATCACATCTTATCCATTTTCTATCGCACTCTTTAAAACAAAAGTATGCGCGATGGCGTTACGGGAAAGCCCGTGGAACGAAATAGTACACTGCGTAACGACGATGACGCGTTAGATTCGATTTAGTGAGCAAATTTAGCAGCCCATAGTATCCAAAGCCTATAGCACTCTTTAAAAAGAATGAAGTTCTTACCGTGGATCCAGGGGCGCTAATTTTCCACTGCCTGGGCGACGGTTTTTTTGCAATAGAAGATTTGAAGCCCAGAGTTCCAGAGCGGCTATGCTAGAACCTGGCATTGTTAATCGGGCGTCCTGCATTGCGAGTAAAGGGTACTTTACATTCAGCGTTTAAAATTCAACATGCGCAGCCGCCGGCGCCCCGGCTATTGCGTGACGCGCAGCTCCACGGTCTCCCCTATCACAACTATGGAGCCTTCTTTCGTTTAAATAAGGCTATACACTAAAGACACAATGGGCAGCAATAATTGTTGATTATATCGAATTAGGCGCCTTCCCCAGCACTTGTGCAGGGTTAAATTTGGTGCCCTGGGCTTTACCGGAGCGCAATAACGCCTACGTTTGTTCTAAACAGAATGATAGCCAATGGATAAGATGAAGCAATATAGCTTTTCACTAAACTGAATTAGGCGCGTTCTCCGACGCCACGGTAGGTTTCGATTATGCGCCCTGGACTATCTTTTGAGCTATGGCGCACAAGTTGTTTTTAAAGAGTGTAATAGTAAATGGATAAGAAATATTATTATAGTCGTTCACTATATTGACAAAATCCGCACCATACTGGGCGCCGTGAATAACAAATTTTAATTTTTTTTTCGAAGCAATCTTCTGAGGAGTATTCGCATTTACTCCCAAAAGTTTCATGGCGAACAGATGAGCGCTGTCAAACCGACTTTAACTATTTATACCGTATATAGTGAAGAATCAAATTGCGCCACCCCTGCGAATTTAATTATTTGTTTCGCAGATACCTCCCCGGGAGTATTCTCAACAACGTCGCTAAGTTTCATGGCGATCGTATAAAAGACAAACAAACAAACATTTATTGCTTTGTGTTATATATATATATATATATATATATATATATATATATATATATATATATATATATATATATATATATATATATAACATGATGGAAAAATTGAAGCCCCCCACCCATGAGACGATCCTGGCTACGCCACTAAACGTAACACTCTTTTGTTTTGAGGTCTTTCAGTTTTTGTAAATTATAATAAGTATGTCCCAATTTTATATAACAAAGATGTTAAAAATTGTTTCAAAACTCACCATAAATCAAGGGTAGAAACTTGAAAACTGGACATGAAACATGCACAACCTTGTAGATCAATGATTGACACCTACCTTGCTGAAGGTGAAGTTTGGAATTTCTATAAAGAGCGTAGCTGATTTTGGAATTACCGTTTTTATTTAAACTGCAACTCTATTGATCCCTGATTGATTTGGGATTTCGATTAATATTATTGATTATAGACCTAATGTGTTTTTAGCAGGGGCGGAACTACAGTGCCGTGAGACCCCCCTATGCGGATGTGGGGGGTGGGGTTGGGCACTCCATTTGGGGGCCCACAGCAGACCATAATCAATATATAATATATATATATATATATATATATATATATATAGATGGGGGGAGCAAATTTTTTTTTTTTTTGCGGGTGGCCTTTCTTTTCTTGTTCCGCCACTGGTTTTTAGTAGATAGTTTTTAGAATCTTTCTATGACAAAACTTCTGTTTACGAAAAATTATTGCATTTTAGTAATATTTTAGTAAAAGTCATGCTAAGAAATGAAACAACTAAATTATAATTTAGTAATGCATTTTTTGACGGCAGTTATGGCTGCTATGAAAGTTCTATAGCTCGAGGCAAAACCTCTTCGGAGCCAGGTGGGTTAAGAACAAACTCTCAACGTACGAGTTAGTAATCGCGTGCTCGACAACTCTCACATGTTCAAGTGTATCTTTAAACTACGATTAAACCTAAGAAACGTTACTTTAAAAATTGTTACAGACCGAACATTAAAGCAGAATTAGAACCCTTTTATTTTTTTTCGACTAGACAAACACGTGATTATGTAGCTAAGGCTACATATATGCAGTGTGACTCGATTGGGCAAATTTGCCACAACCACTCTCACCAATCAATGTGTGATGACCTTTTATCCATTTCTGTCGAGAAAGTTAACTGTAGGTCATTAAAATTAATTGGAAGAATCACTGTCGTTTTCATCGTACAAAGAAAGAACACATTTTAAAATAAATAATTATACAAACAAATACATTGTCAAATCATAAAGAAAAGAGAAGAGACATAGAATTTGAATAAAATATATTTTAATCCCAAAATATAAAAAATAAGCAAATTGAAAAAAATAAAAGAAGTAAAAAGAATTGTTGTTGCTTTCGCCGTTTAATTGAAACATCAATACACTTTGACATCATATCGTGTCTAGAATCACACCTAATTTTTAGTGCTCACTTTTAAAATATATAAAAAAAATTCAAATGTCAATGAAATACTAAAAACTAAAAAACTGCATTAAAGTGAATATTTTAGTTTGGTTTAGCCTACTAGTTGACAAATCCACACCCACGGCCTAGAAAACACCATGTTCGTCGCAAACTTTAGATTGGGAACAGGTGGTCTGTTCTAAACAAAGTATCAGCACATATAGTTTAAATCAATAATGCGTATCAAAACTTTTTCTTTTTTTTAGCAAAAACCATTATGGAATAAAAAAACATACTTTTTTATTAGATAAGAAATCTTTGTTTACCTACATTGCAATAATCGTTATTAGTAATATAACAGAAGTCTTTGTTACTAGACCCAACAGGTAAAATATGAAGCAGTGTATGCTTAATAAACACCCATTTAGATGCGAAATTCTTTGTCTTACCAATTCTATATCAATAACAATACAATGTGGTTAGTATAGTATTAAGAAATTGTAATGTTTTTTAGTAAACATAAAAAAGAAAATGTTAGTGGTTTTACAAACATATTGCCCATTATTTTGAATGAGAATAAGTAAGTAAACATTGAATATAATGAATACATATACTGAATATTAAGAAATATAAATAAAGATAGTAACCTCATAAGTGATAGAAAATATCAAGTATATTCTAAACCACGAAAAACTGCGTTTAAAGTACACATTAAAAAACACACCAAGATAAATAAAACGACAGTTACATAACACCTGGACATGTTAAAAGTTTGTGATGGAGGTGGGGGCATGGGAACGTGTGTATTGTATAGTCAGGTTTTTTTTTTTTTTTCAGTAATAAAATGGGTGCATGATTATTTGATGTAGTAAGCCTACTAAGGAAAAATGCTACAAGGTCAAATCATACTCAACTGCATATATACACAGAGAGACACTATTTAAAAAAAATATCTTAATATTAAAAGTGTCTAGCCTAAATTACTTTTTAATTTGTTTAGTCAAGAGATGATTTTTGTCCCTTCTCATTGAAAGTTTCATTTTTAAATTGGTATCAAGAAATGAGTCCTTATTTCTGATTAATCTCTCCACATACCAGTCATTAAAAATGTGGAAATAATTCATAACGTGAGGAAGTAAAATCACTTCATTTCTTTCTACTTTTTGAGGCCCGAAATAAACAGTCTGTAAGCATTTCATCAAGTATGTAACATCTTCATACATTTGACGTCTCTGTGTCGCGTTCTCTTCTTCATGCTGTGTTTTCTCATTCTTCCCATCTAGATAATTTTGCCATGTACCTTGTAATAGGATTAACATTTGCTCTGTTTCTTTTGTATATTTATTTGTTCTATTCGAAATCTTTTCCATTAGGAGAGATAATTTTCTTTATACATTTTCCAACATGTTGTTTGCTACGAATGATTTGGGATTATCTATAAAAAATGGCACTGATATTGCTTTACCCATTTCACACACCAAAGAAAAAAAGTTTGTGTTATCAACGTAAGCGGGTAAGATATTAAACTGAATATATCTTTTTCCGAACCACTTTTTAAATGATACATCCTCTTTTGTTTGTGTAATATCTTCTTGTTTTTTCGGATTTAAAGTACTTTCTGAAATATCTCTAAGTTGTGTAGCATCAGTATTTTCACATTTTGTTTCGTCTTCTTTTATTATTGTGGCATGAATATTAATTTCTTTTGGGGCAACATATTTTTTATATTTTGCATCAATAGATTTTACAACAATTACATTATTCAAATCAATACCCAAGTCTTCGTGTAACATAAACACTAAAGATCGAGCGTCCTTTTTTGTGTCTGATGTATATACCACAACAACAGTATTGTAGCCCTCACGACAAAGAACAAGACATGATTTCATTTCTTCTATAAACTTATCAACGTCTTGGTCATCATACACGGGCCCATCAATTAGTTTAAACACTATATTACAACGTTCAAAATAGTGCAAGTGTAAGATGTTTTTATCTGGTAATTTTATTTCGTCTTGGCTTGTTTCGTGTATTTCTTCATTTGTTTCCTTATCCAAAACTTTCCATATTTTCTTTTTGGCCGATTTTTGTTTTTCAATAGCATATGATTTCTGCAGTAGTGTTCTCTTGTACAGCTCTTTGTTACTCTCCTTTGTTCCAACCAGCAATATTGAACGTTTATGATTGTTAGCGTCAGACCTACAAAAAAAAGCGAAAAATAACAACATAGTTGTGTAATTGTAAGTTTATAAACTTTCTAAGCACATACGTTTTTTCTTCAATACAGATATTTGTTGATAGCATTGTAATACACTACCAATTAATCTACTTTAAATCTTTGATAAAATGGAAAGGGTTAGAGGCATAAGAAATATACAATATAGTCAAAGGTTTATATTACCTTATCATGGTAAAGTATTGTGTAATCAATACTATGCTATGCTGCTTTTATTTTTTTTTTTAACTACAAACATGTACGTTTTCCAGGCCCTGGTCTTGAAACCGAATTCGATGTTCACAAACACATACGTTAAAACTAATACCAATACAAAATTGTTAAACTAAACAACGTATTTTGGAAGAAAAAAAGAGTTTTACCTCAAACATCTCTATTTTAGTTGGACAACCCTTAGTCTCCCCAACTCTGAATAATAGTAAAGGTGGCTGAATATGAACTTAACAAATTATCCTTTGTTTTGCTGCCGTCATCAAATCAAATGAAAACAATATATGCCATTTTGACTGGCAGTTCCAAATTGATAACCCTTATAATGTTGTGGGATAAGGACACAGGGTCCACATTTGAAAATACCGATATAAAGCCCTCTATTGATAAAATACTTATACACAACAATGCACGAAATAAATCTAAAAAAAAACAACGGCTGGACGAAAATACGACACTCAAAAGGCCCACATAAAAATCCGACTGATTCAACATTTGAATACATAAATATATTCTTACTTTGAAGCAGAAATTGGAGCAGAAATGTCCTCGATTGTCCCTGTCAAAAAACGTATTAGAAATTTAAAGCTCAAGAATAAAATATAATTTCAACAAATTTAAAGATTATACAAATGACGACGGCTATTCAAAGATTAAGTTTTATTATAATACTTTAATTGTTACGAACTAGACTGCAAACCCGACAGTCTCAAGTTAGATTCCGAGTTCAAATCTGTAGTAAGTCATTTATTCCCCCCCCCCCCAACCCCAGCTCTGATGGGTAACAAACTCACGTTAGGGAAAGTAAAGGCGGCTAGGCACAGTGCTGGCAACATAAGCCGATGTCACTTAAGGCGAACTTTACTTATTAATAGTAATGTTTAACATTGTATAAATCGATTGAGAATAAGAAATATAAAGTTGGTGGAGAAAAACAACAAAATCTAAGATAATAAAAGACAATGAATAAAATGTTAAATTGTAAAATTACCTGTATTTCTTGTGGACTCTTCTCTAATTGAAAGAAATATTTAAAAGTAATAATTAATTATAATCGTAGTTAGTTATTTAGCATGTAAGTAAATTTTACTTTTATAAATGCTTTCTAAACGAACTATTGTAAAGAATTTGACAAATTTGACATAAAAGCAATATCTAGCTGTTAAATTTAAGTAAAAATACTACTAATTAAATGTGTGCTAAAATTCACAGTCAATCTCAGAAACTATAATTATAATAACATATAATAATATTTCTTAATGGATGCTTAATGGAAATAATAAACCGTGAGTGATCTCCCTAAACTTTCTCGAATATTCTTATATAAAACAACGGGAACTCGGGATATAGACATGATTTTTAATCAATTTTTAATACTTAAACTTTTTAAAATAGAATAAAATCTCGTGGAAAAAGAATTGCACACCGAGTGAACGCCAAATAAAATGTGCATAATAGTGCGCAATATTATTTGTACTTTATAAATTTACATGAGTTTTTTGAAAGATCGGAAATAGCGATAATTACTACCTCCATTCAACGGAAATTACTCAAAATTTGACACAAGGTAGACAATTAGATCTCTGTTGTTAACGTGTGAAATTTCATTTATCTATCTGAAATAGTACTCAAGTTATAGGCTTTTGATAAATTCAAAGTAGAAAAAGTACCACTTCCGGTTATCGGAAATCGCTCAAAAGTTGATATGAATCTACAATTTTGATAAAATACTTATATTTGAAATTTCATCAATATAGCTGTAAGAGTACTCAAGTTATCGTGTTTACACATACACAGACACACGGACAGAACTGGATAATCCCGTTTCTCCTACTCCATTACGCATAATAAAACGCCAAAATTTTGATAAATCTGGATTTATAATTTTTGCCCGATTAAAATAAGTCCTCTATATCCCGGATGTGATAAATGACTGAGGAGTAAAACGGTAAAAACTGTCAAAATTTCATGTGATTTTTGTGCACGATTAAAATACATTCTCTATGCTCTGTATACGCAAAAGTAAAATTGTAACTTACGTTTTGCTCTCAAATAATTTCCGAGATTCTTCATCTTCCGTAAACTCTGTATACCATTCATTTAAACAATATATTAATAGGCAGAAATTGTATGTGTCAGAATACTTAATTTAAAAAGGCTGTCCTGTTAATTAAACTGAACAGCTGTTTACAAATAATTTCCCATTTCACTACATAATATTAGATATTATTTGTATTTGTTTTAATACTTGTTAAAAGTAAATTTAGATGTATAATATCAATAATAATTTTAATGAAAGTAATAATAATTGCATTTTTCGTATTACCTTGATTTAAAAAAATACATTAAATATTTCTTATAATAATATAAATCATCAAACTTAAAACTTAATCAATCATTAAACTTACCAATGCCTTTACTGTAAGTTCTGTGAACAAAACAAACTATGATACGAATTACAGATACAAAATGATTCATAATTGTGAAGTTTTTAAAACTTAATTGCTTCACGAAAATCAAATAATTTAAGCACTTTTGTGATTAAATTACGTAAATAGATTAATAAAGAAATTTAAATTTACTCGAAATACATCTAAATGTACTTTAATCTTAAAATATACAAGTATCTAGATTAAAGTGACAAACAAAATAATTATAAAAATCTTAAAAGACTTTGGAAGTGATTTTATATTTTTCTAAATAGTTAACAATGTATTTTTACTTCTAAACTACAATCAGGAGCATCAAAAATACTACCTTGCCGATGATAGATTTACTTTAGTTAGTTTTAACAATGGAAAGTCTGAAAACAAAAAACAAAAAAATTGAAATTTTTTTTTTGACCAGTGATAGATAGAGACAGAAAGGAAAACTTATTTTAAAATATCTTTTAAAAAATTAAGTAAATTACTTTAAGAAATTATAGTGTTACTTGTTTTCAGAAAAAAACTATAAAAATAAAAACAAAGATTGAAATGTAACTTAATAATTATTATTTCAAAGATTGTTTCATACTGTACAATGCTTTTTATGACAGTCATTTTTTATCAATTTTAAATGAATAAATTTAAGAAACTTCCAATGTGTTTTCCTGATGATTTCTTCTAGTGTATAAATAACAAAACAGTAAACATATTTTTATTTGCTAAACTTAAATTGTCTTATGCATCACTTTTGTTACGGGTCAGTTGTAGGTTAGATAGAAATAGGTTAGAATAATCTAGAATTAGGGGAGAGTGCGTGTGTGAGTTGAGTTTACCCTAGAGTATTTTAAATAAAGAATTATTTAGCTTTTCATTTACAGAAGTGTTACGAGATACTTACATTTTTTAATGAACGTGTAGCATAATACAACATTTATTAGCCCTGATATTGCAAAAAGAACTGCAAGTACTATCACAGTAATGTTGCCTGTATCTGTACATTCAGTATCTAAAAATAGTAATAGTTGATTATATTATCGTAGTAGCACACATTACATAATTTGTTTCCACAAAATAAGGAAGATTGGATAAAGCATAGTTAAGTAACGATTTCTATTTTATCCATATGGTTATACTTGTTTTTAAATTTGTTATACTTTAGTATAAACTGGGCCCAAATTTAAGAACTTTAGTAAACAAATATTAATAAAACTTCACGTAACAAACGCATAGTAAAGTTACTTACCTTCTTTTTGATTTTTGCCAGTAACAATAGGTGTACATGTTATATCGTTAACTGTAGATTTAAATGTACTTTTAATTAATAACATATAACTTGAATTTCAAAAACAAAGTATAAAACACGTGGAGGACTTAACAGGCAAAGTAAAAAACAAAACAAAAAGAAACTGATGAATTCTTAAACTAACCCGCGGTGCCATTTACGATTGTTACGTAGTATTGTGTTTTGCTTTTAACATCAACGCCATCTGCGATCCAATTAAAACCTGATTTACTTTCATCACTGTCTAGCCTTTCACAACTACAGTTGATAAATCCATTACTTTTGTTGCAGTCTTGAACCGATACTGATGAATATTCTATAAAGGGTAGAAATACAACATTTAGGAAATTTACAGACCATTAAATTGAAAATACTTTGTTTTAAAGATTTGGCTGGGGTGATGAAAACTCAAAAAGAAAAAAAACTTCGTCATTTCTAAAGTCTCATATAAAGTTAAAAAGAAATTTCGAGTTTGTCCCTGAAAATATTTCTGATAGGCGCACCACCGTAAAGAGTCTCATACATTTATTTAAAACTAAACTGACAACATGGAGAAAAAAATTTTTTAATTTTTAAATTACCCAAACACTATGTATGCTTTTAATGTTACCTTTAAGTAAAGACAAAGAAATATTTGTGCCAGTCTGCGTGAAATTGGGATGTCCTATCAAACTAGGGTAAAGGCAAAAAATATAATCATCTCTTTCAAAAAGCAAATCATGCTTCTTTAATGTTTTCCAACATTCTGTTTCATAATAAAGAGGCTCCAGATTGCTATGTGTGTTATTGCATAACACGGTCTGTGTGTCAATTGATTCTCTAAATACAGCCATCTGTGGACAATAAGATCAAGCGCATGTAAACCACGTAGTCATCCATATATCGAATTACCCAGCTTCGTTGATGGAAATATATATTTAAATAATCTCCCTTCAACTTTATCAAATATTTTTATACAACATTACGGGGATGTGAAATTTTGAGTAATTTTCGTTGACCGGAAGTAGTAATTAACGCTATTTACGATTTCTCAAAAAAAAACGCTTATGAATTTACAAAGCTCTAATAATATTACTATAATATACATATTACTATTATATATATACATATATACATATTACTATTAATATTACTATTATATACATATTGTTTGCAGTTCACTTGGTGAACTTTTTTTCTACGAGATTTTATTCTATTTTAAAAAGTTTAAGTAAAATAAATGGATTAAAAATCATGTCAGTATCCCGAGTTGCTATCCCCCATAGTGATACATAAAGATATTCGAGAAAGTTTAGGGGAGATCACTCCCGCTTTATTTTAGCTAAAATATCATCTTTACCATAGCCTCGGGGTAAACTTGTTTCCCATAACAGGACACGGTTAGACCATCTTTGGACCAAGTCTTTGTACACTTCGTTTCTGTTGGCTTTGCTGTTGTCAGACCAAAGCAAAATTTTACTCATATTAATAATATTTTATACGAATGCATAATAGAAATACATTTTAACGTTAATTACATTAGTAATTTATGAGTTATTAAGAAAACATAATGCGAAAATTGGACTTTTTAATAAAAATTATGAGTTTAATATTTTTACGTATTTAAGTTTTATATTCTTGAATTAAAAAAACATCTTAATTCAACTTACCATACACTTGAAGATTGCATTCATAAAATACCTCTACATTAGGACTTGAAGTGTGTGTTTGTAACTTCCAAAGTCCTTTGGTATTTTTCAGTATTTCCCTTGAAACACTCATAATGTTTATAGAGAATTGCCACATTTCCCCATTCGTATTAACGTTTGCAGTCAGCCAGTTGATGTCATTTGTTGTACAGTCACCAGAAACCAGAGCACATTCAGCGATCAGATTGTCATCTTTTGTCCACATAAGCATTGTTGTGTCACTCGGAGCTTTAGTCATGACATGAGTCAGTGTATATGGCTTGCCTTCCTCTGCTGGCCCACACGCATACATTACTGAAACAAATATTTTAGGTTCGTGAAATGAAATATTAAAATAATTATGGCTTTCGTTTTTTTTTGTATCTGCATAAACAAATGTGTTCAAAATGTTATAATAGTAGATGAAAAAGTAATTTACTAACTTTACAGAAATTGAACACATGATTAAAAATTACAGGTTAAAATTATAGTTGTTAATAAACGCGAAATATTATTGATGATATTTTTAGCATTAAGCGGGCAACAAGTAGCTATATTGATATCTCGAAACTTTAGTTAGCAGTGGATTAATAAACAATTATAAGGTTTATATAAAATCCTGTTGTAGAGATAAACAAATAAAATATTCAAGTGCTCTAAATCTATCATGTGCTACAAAATTATATTTGTTTGTACATGCTAATATCATTAACATGAATAAATAGCTATTTGTGTATCAAAGGAACGTTAGATAATTAAAATGAGTCAATTTTCAACCTTGTATCAGAAAGAATAAAACGAGGCAGGATTGAAATAAAATGGTGAACTTCATTTTTTCTTTAAGAATCATTTCTGAAAATATAGAAAAATTAAACATTAAACTATGTACACACACACACACACACACACACACACACATATATATATATATATATATATATATATATATATATATATATATATATATACATCTGTATATACAAAGCATTGTACGCGTGTCTGTGTGTTTGTGTCTGTTTCTTTGTCTGTCTTTATGCATTACTACATCTTTCATGTGATCGGCATGAAACTTTGCGAAGTTGTTGAGAATTCACTTGGGGAGTTTTCTGCGGGAAAAAAAATCATATTCGCACGATTGGCGACCGGCAGGACGCGATTTTTTGTTCTCAATATACGGTATATAAAAATAAAAGTCGATTGCGGTTTGACACCGCTCATCCAGTCGCCATGAAGCTTTAGGAGTTAATTCGAACACAACAAGGGAGAGCTTTGCAAAATATCTTCCTAATTTTGCAAGGGTGAGTGCGATTTTTTCCTTTAATATATAAAAAAAAGTACGATGCGGTTAGATACCTTTCATGCGACGGCCATGCAACCTTTGGGGAGTAAATTACAATTTTCTTGAGAAGATTTCCGTGAGCGATACGTCCATTTTAAACATTGTAAAAGAATATGCAAAAGGTTGGGTTTTAGAGTCGTTCACTAAACATAATCAGGCGCGTCCGCCGGCGCCTCTGCAGGGTGTGATTAGGTGCCGTGGGCTTTTTGGGGCGGTGGTGTAGATAAACCCGTGCCACAATGAATGTGATTTAAACGCAGGCATTGTTAACACTTAAATAACTCAGTTTTAGAAAAGAAAGTCACGCATCTAAGAATATAGGACGGTAGAGCATTGATGAAACCCTCCTAATAAATTTGCCCCTTGGCTATCCTGGGACTTACTTTTAACCCCACGGGCACGCTAGTATATATATATATATATATATATATATATATATATATATATATATATATATATATATATATATATATATATATATATATATATATGTATTTATAGATACATAAATATACATATATTTAGACTTATATAAGTATAAATATATATATATATATATATATATATATATATATATATATATATATATATATATATATATATATATGTATACATATATAGTGTGTGTGTGTGTGTACCCATCCATGTGCATTGTCGAGGAGGGCTCAGAAGAAAGTCTTACGTATTATTTTAAAAGGATTTATTAATTCATTACCAATCCTATATTCTTAAACCAGTGAACTTTTTTTCTAACACAGTTTATTACACTTTTTAAATGTAAACTATGTCCGCTTTATATTACTCGGATTTGTCGGGGCTCGTATTTGCCTACAATACCGCCCAGCACACCCCAGAGCGTGCTGTATGAAAGCCTTGAGTGTACAATAATCAATACTCGTAATAGTGCGGTAGAAAACACAGAAGTCAGTGCCGTAAACGAGTGCTAACTGGAGCCTACGGTTACACTACAGTAACAAGCTCGGTTTAATTTATTTTCGAATGTCGTGTGCCGCCGTGTACATATTGTATGATTCCCCTTAGAACGAACGTAGGCGCCATAGTGCTCAGAGGATAGGTATGAGTTCCAAATCACACAATACTGGGGCGCATGTGGACGAGCCTGATTTCATCTGGTAAACGACTATAAAATCACATCTTATCCATTTTCTATCGCACTCTTTAATAAACCGGTAGTGATCTCCCCTAAACTTTCTCGAATATTCTTATATAAAACAACAGGGGATGGTAACTGGGGATATAGTTATGATTTTTAATCCATTTTAAATACTTAAACTTTTAAAAATAGAATAGAATCTCATAAAAAAAACATTGCGCACCAAGCAAACGCCGAATAAAAACGCGTATAATAGTGCGCAATATTATTAGTACTTTAAAAATTTACATTAGTTTTTTGAGAAATCGGAAGTAGCGTAAATTACTACTTCCAGTCAACGGAAATTACTCAAAATTTAACAGAAGGTAGAGAATTAGATCTTTTACTTACATGTGAAATTTCATTTATCTATCTGAAATAGTACTCAAGTTATAGGCTTTTAAAAAATTCAAAGTAGGAAAAGTACCACTTCCGGTTATCGGAAATCGCTCAAAAGTTGATACGGATCTACGATTTTGATAAAATACTTATATATGAAATTTCATCAACCTAGCTGTAACGGTACTTAAGTTATCGTGTTTACACACGGACAGACAGACAGACAGACAGACACACACACACACAGACATACGGACAAGATTGCAAAATTATGTTTTTCCGTATCAGTGAGGTGTAAAACGTCGAGATTTGTAAAAATCTCGATTTTTTTTTTTTGCACGATTACAATACTTTCTCTATACTACGTATATACGAGAAAGTAAAAAGAAATTATGCGCGATATGGTTTCGGGAAAGTCTGTGGAACCAAATAGCACACTGCACACTAAATTTAGCAACCCATATTATCCCTTACCTTCAGCAATCTTTAAAACGAATGTAGGCGAAATAGTTCATACCGTTGAGCCTAGGGCGCTGACTCGCCCCAGTCGAGGCCCCGGCGGGTGAGACTGTTGTAGTTTTACAGTTGAATAAATTAGTACTCCTTACCCAGTATGCTGCACACCAAATTAACGAATACCAAAAGGTAAGATAGATGCTCTGGAACTCTGGCGCTGCTCATAAGGAATTTTTTTTTCACGCAGAAACCTTCTAGGAAATGTTCTCGTCAACTCCGCAAAGTTTCATGGAACTCGGATGAACGTTGCCAAACCGTATCGGACTTTTATTTTGTATATACCGTATAAGGAGAAAAATCGCACACTCCCGGGGTGCCACCCTTGTGGAATTGAAAAAAAAAAATTTTCGGCAGAAAACTTTCCAGGAGTGTTCTAATCAACTCCCTAAAGAGTCATGGTGATCGGATGAGCGATGTCAAAACGCAATCGACTTTTATTTTTATATACCATATATAGAAAAAAAAAAACAAATCGCACCCTGCCGGTGCGACACCACTACGAATTTGATTTTTTACTTTCTCGTATAAACGAAGTATAGAGAAAGTCTTGTAATCGTGAAAAAAAAATAAACAACGAGAATTTTGCAAATTTCGACATTTTACACCTCCCTTAGTCGGTGTGAGTATGTGTGTGTGTGTGTGTTTGTGTGTGTGTAAACACGATAACTTGAGTACCGTTACAGCTAGAATGATTCTCTGCCTTTCTTAAATTTTGAGTAGTTTCCGTTGACCGGAAGTAGTAATTTTCACTATTACCAATTTCTCAAAACACGCATGTGAATTTATGAAGTACTAATAATACTCCGCACTATTATGCACATTTTATTTGGCGTTCACTTGGTGTGCAATTTTTTTTTCTACGAGATTTTATTCTATTTTAAAAAGTTTAAGTATTTAAAATGGATTAAAATGGATTAAAAGTCATGTCTATATCCCGAGTTGCCATCTCCTATTATTTCATATATGAATATTCGAGAAAGTTTAGTGAAGGTCACTCCCGGTTTATTTTTAGCACAAACTTCACTAAGAGTATTCTCAACAACTTCGCAAAGTTTCATGGTGATCCGATAAAAGGTGTAGTAATGCATAAAAGAGAAACAAACAAAAAACACACATACATTTCATTATATATATATATATATATATATATATATATATATATATATATATATATATATATATATAAAATAATGGAACAATTTTGAAACCCCCACCCATGAGACGATCCTGGCTACGCCACTAAACGTCACACTCTATTGTTTTGAGGTCTTAATTTTTTGTAAATTATAACAAGCAAATCCCAATATTATATTACACCGGTGTTAAAAATTGTTTCAAAACTTACCACAGAACAAGAGTTCAAATATAAAAACTGGACATGAAACAGGCACAACCTTGTAGATCAATGCTGAAGGTGAAGTTTGGATTTTCTATAAAGATCGTAGCTGATTTTGGAATTACCGATTTTATATAAACTGCAACTCTATTGAGCCCTGATTGATTTGGGATTTCTATTAATAGTTATTGATTATAGACCAAAGGTGTTTATGGTAGATAATTTTTAGAATCTTTCTGTGACAAAACTTCTGTTTACGAAAAATAATTGCATTTTAGTCATATTTTAGTTTAAGTCATGCTAAGTAATGAAACAACTGAATTATAATTTAGTAATGCATTCTTTGGCGAAATTTATACGATACATTTATATCAGGGTAGTTTTATGTTTACAAAATGAATAATTGCAAATGTTCATTAATTAAAAGGGTCATAATTTAAATTTAAAAAAATACTGTATAGATATTTTAGAATAAACCTGTCACATTGCTTAGAGCAAGTTTTAAAAATCTAAAAACATGAACAACAATTAGAGTAACATTAAGAAAATGGGACTGGACAGAGGATTCTGGAGATCTTCGGTAGCAGGTATAACGGGCAGTGGTCATGACGATAGAGATATAACTACAACCTTATACGGTTCAGTTTGACCCTGATGAGCAATTTCTTGTATATTATACCTACAAGTCGTAGGGTAGTATTAGAGGTGTAACACAAGCTCTAACCGGCACTTCATTATTCAAATCAATTTGTAAGGTAAACACTAGCTGCATGCAGTGTTTAGTGAGACATCGGTGATTTGGCTACTAACATACTCTCACCCTTAGGCATACATCGCTCGTAGCTTGAATAGCTTGTAAATCGAGACATCTTTTGTCATTGCTATTTGTGAAGCTGAAACAAGTTACTGATATAAAATAAACCGGGAGTGATCTCCCCTAAACTTTCTCGAATATTCTTATATAACTTGGAATGTAGACATAATTTTTAATTACTTAAACTTTTAAAAATAGAATAGAATCTCATAGTACTTTATAAATTTACATGCGTTTTTTGAGAAATCGGAAATAGCGTAAATTAGTACTTCCGGTCAACGGAAATTACTCAAAATTTGGCAGAAGGTAGAAAATTAGATCTTTTACTTACATGTGAAATTTCATTTATCTATCTGAAATAGTACTCAAGCTATATATAGGCTATTGAAAAATTCAAAGTAGGAAAAGTACCACTTCCGGTTATCGGAAATCGCTCAATAGTTGATACTGATCTACGATTTCGATAAAGTACGTATATTTGAAATTTCATCAACCTAGCTGTAACGGTACTCAAGTAATCATGTTTACACACAGACAGACAGACACACACACACACAGACATACGGTCAAGATTGCAAAATTATGTTTTTCCGTATCAGTGCGGTGTAAAACGTCGAGATTTGTAAAAATCTCTGTTTTTGTTTTTTTTGCACGATTACAATACTTTCTCTATACTTCGTATATACGAGAAAGTAAAAAGCAAATATAACTCGACTAGATTACAAAGCTGATCTACATCTCATCACGCAATGATTACTTAATTGTAAAAAAAAAAACACAAGCGTGTGTCTTAGACACTAATGTTTACAACCAGTTACAAAGCGACTGAACTGAAGTGCTTTACATAAAAAGCTATCAGCGAATATGATTCATAGTTTCGGTCTTGAAGGCCGTGAGTAAATCAATGAAAAAGTACAGTTAACGAGTAGGTATTCAAAACTAGAGAACAACAGATATATTAAGCTGAATAATTGTAGAGAATATTATACGATTGTTTGTTCAAGATAACAGTATTTCTGTTTGCCATGTGGCTACTTAAAAGATTGAGAAATACACTAACTCTTTTGTTCGTTTGGGGTAAGGAATATTTATATACAACCACACGTTGTTTTATTTTTATGTTCAGAACTTACATTTACGCACACATTAATGTCAGAGTACCCTGACTACGTGTATTTTCGTTCAATAAAATGAAGATACAAATCTTGTATTTTTCATTTCCATAGCACGTGTTGTTAGACTATTTTGGAAACAACCCAGCAATAATGTGTGTAATGATATATAAAAGATGTGCGATTCCAACTTTCGCCTAAAATTGTTCTATCTAACTAAGAACTCACGCTATATGTATGTCATAGAGGTAGCTAAAAGATTTACTATCACAGTTGTACAAAAGAAAACGTCTAATAAATTTCTGAATGAGTCAGAGTATATTGCATTCCAACTCCACTATCCCCTTACGTGTCACCCCCCCCCCCCCCCCCCCCATCACCAACCGCTAGAGATGTGGGTTGGATTTAACTAGCTAGCTTAATAACGACACGGGATACTTTTATCTTAAAGGAAAATACTAGACAACCGGGTACCAATTGTCTGCGTAAGTGCAAGTGCAATAACTCGTTTCTCAATCGCAATAGTAGGGGTCAGCGTGGAGGAGTCAGTAAAGCTCATGGTTTCTAAACCGAAAAGTCTCGAGTTCGAGGCTCGTTAGCTGGGGACAGCCACTCTTCTAGGAGAGACAAGTCCAAAATCAAACAACTGCTGCCCTGTAGTTTGTTCTTAGTTGGACAAAGGCTATGGAAGCAAATCCAAAAAGTAAAGCAGGTTGAAATCATCCTAGTGTCAACATGTTTGTAAAAGAAAAAACCTGACAACTATAGGCCTACTCATGTGTTTAAATTATGGTTAATTTTAAGTTAAAATATATAGAAAACATTCTTTTCTTTGTAGATTTATTTGAATTTAATTTTTTTTAAACCCATGCCTTATCTTTCTATACGTAATTAAAAACAAATAGTTGCTGTAATGTTAAATAAGTAAACATATCGTTTTATATTTTTTTACCAGAATTATATCTTACAGATGGAGTTCTGTGTAACATTACGTTCCACAGTTACAAACAGACAGACAGCAAAACAACATGTACCCTTTCATTGATAGAATTCAGGGATAGAGTGACCTTTCATGCCGTGGTGGATTTCACGAATCTCAGTAATTTGTGGAGCAGATTTCTTGTCTTCGAGATAAGTGTAGATGGAGGTCATACTTTTCAGCGTGTAATTTGTTTTTTTAAATCTCCTTTTTATTTTATACTTATATATATAAATAAATAAATAAATAAAAAAAAAAAAATAAAAAAAAAATATATATATATATATATATATATATATATATATATATATATATATATATATATATAAATAAATAAATATATATAAACAAATAAATAAATAAATATATATATATATATATATATATATATATATATATATATATATATATATATATATATATATATATATATAAACAAATAAATAAATAAATGAATAAATGTATATATATATATATATATATATATATATATATATATATATATATATATATATATATTTGTGTGTGTGTGTGTGCATGTTTGTTATATAACTTACTCTACAAGTAAACAATTATAATCTCTTCCTTATATGCACCTTACAATGTATAAAGCTGAATATCATAGATTGTTGTACTCAATAACTCGACTTGTCCCCTAGCTCTGCGGAGTCGACATTAAATCCAAATGTAAGGCAACCAATCACCCGATCTGTCCCTGTAACGCCACCTCAAATAATGAAGTCTATGATATCCAAGTTAACGTACAAGCCCAAAAGCGATACAGTGAGGCTTTGATTCGTGGATACATCAAGCACTCAGTGGAGGACAACCCGCATTACAGCAGCACACAGCGGTTTCCTAAAATATACAGTAAGTAAATGATAATTCAGGTGAGAAATTTACTCTATAGCTTACATGAGCAGCAGTAACATATATAAGATTTTTTGCAAAAAAAAAAAAAAAAAAAAAAGATAGTTATTGGCGTAGGGTTATTTAGAATTACTTCTCTGTATTTTAAATCCAACTATTACGCACTGGGCTATATTACCTTTAAACAACTGTATCGCTAGTCTATTCTATTAGTTGGTTTGAAATAGCTGATTGATGTTTCCGTTATTAATATTAACATATTTTTTCTCATTTTGACGCAAGTTTCAATTAAACTTAATGTTCATCAGGTAATTCTTCCAGATATTATATTATATATATATATATATATATATATATATATATATATATATATATATATATACATACATACATACATACATACATACATAATTACATTTTAAAATTGTGCTAGAACTCAATCAAAGTGTTACCATTTTTGTTTCTAGATATATCCGAGGTACAACTCCAGCTGAACAACATACCTCTACCTACAACAACAGACAACTACGAGGTCGACAACTACACTATAGAGAACCGTGTGTGTTGCTTGAACTCGCCCTCTCCCTGTAACATCGACATTGTAACTGACCAGTCAAACAGTCGTGTTGGAGAAACGTGTGTGGACCTTTCCCTGACGTCATTAAGTTTTAAAGACAGTCAGATTGTAGAAGTGAGGTACAATGTTTGCAATGCTATCAATCAAACGTATTGGATACAATTTATACGGAAGAAGAAAGGTACAGATAGTACGAATAATTAACCAATTTTTCTTAGCTTTTATTCTATTAATATGAATACATTTAACGACTGCTGACCTAAAAATCTTGACAACTAATGTTCGTTTCGTTTCTGTATGTCGTCCATGAGGACACACAGTTCTGATGGGTACCCAGCTCATGTAAAGAAAACAATAGCGGTAGGCCTAAAGAGATGACTATACTATTCTTTATATCCTGAGGTCATTGAAACAAATGAATACTACTTCATTTCTCACCCGTATTTTTAACACAAAACAATAAAGATGATGATGATGAAATGAATATTGCCATGATGTTAAAATATTAACTGATTTCGTGTATACGCATATAATTGAAACGTGTGTTTGATATATTATGTGTTTTTCCCCATCAAAGATCCCCATAGGAGTGCGAGTATCACACTAATGGGCTACAGCTATGAAGACAGTCAGACAACGTGTAAGGAAGGTCTAAGACACGGTAAAGACAGCGTTGTATTTAAAGCACAAGTCTATTTAAATCAGGTGTCTTCACTT